CACGGACACCACTGGCCACTGACCAGAGCACGGACATCACTGATCACTGACCAGGACACGGACACCACTGACCACTGACCAGGGCACGGGAATCACTGACCCCTGACCAGGGTACCGACAGTCACTGACCATGGCACAGACACCCACTGCCCAGGGCATGGGCACCCACTGCCCAGCAGCACTGCCAACTCCATTATGGATTTATTATTCAGGTCAGGAGCGAGATGCTCTTACTTTCTATTAATATCAAATTTCAAAGCAAAAAAACCTATGTCTTCTCCCATTTTCCATGGACTGCACACCCAGAATTCTAACAAACATTTCAATCACCACTTAGCATCACCATTAAGGAACAAGCTGAAAAGGTTTCCACTGTTGTCAGAGCTCTGTCAACTGTGTGCCAAAAAGGGCTGGGGAGCACTTTCACACCAGCACAATTGTTAATAGTATTTGTAATGCAACAAGGACTTTAAGCCTTGCTCATCCATAGAGTGTGTCTGAGGGACACAGACACTGAATTTTGGACAGTCTCCTCTGGAAGAGTTCATGGCAGTGGAACAGCAGAAAAAACACATTGGGACAAAAGAGGAGGAGCAAACAGACAAATATCCAAACAGTGCTTAAAAGAGCAATTGGACAACAAACCCGCTGTGATTTACTCACTCATTGTAATGGGGCAGGACACACACCAAGCTCTTGTGTTTTATTTGTAATTTTGTATTCTGAAATCCCATTCAGAATAAAGGAAAAAGGTGTAAGAGTTGCATAAGAGCTTTGACCTTGCTCCTAAGTCAGCATTTCCCCAGAGAGGAACCTGCTCTCACATACCCACCTTGGACATCAACCCTCAAAGTGCTAAATGCCTTCAGAAGAGGCAGGAACCAAACATTGGTCCAGGTCAGCAGCTGTGTCTTCATCTGCCCAGAGAAGACCCTTGGAGGATCTCCACCAAATTGCTTTAATAGAAAGCCACTGGTGGCAAGAAGGACCATTGAAGTTTCTGTCTATACAATCCATCACAGGAGGATTTGCTGATCCATGAGTGGGATTTTTAGATATTACCACAATAGCAAGGTCTAAAGATGGGGTTTAACAATCTAGGCCATACAGTCCTTGTTGATTCCTGATGCTAAGAGAAAGCAGGGCTAGGAATATTCCTCACTGAGTAATAGGATAATCAAAGGTTTTAATTAAGAATAATTTTTAAATTACATTCTTCAGAAGGTGCATATGGTGCCTTTTGTGAATATGAGGGACATCCATCCACAGCACCATTTCCAAACTGAAGGGTGTGCTTTGGTAGAATGAAAACCCCTCCCAGCATTCAGCCTCCTCCTAGAGAAGCTCTGGCTGTGCCTGTGACAAGGGAGAAGCAGCAGACACTCAGTGAATTCCCCCAGGGCTGTGGCACTTGACCAGACTGCCACCAGAGACACGCCGATACAATGGGGACCAGCAGCAGGATCACTCCCTCGATGGATTTAGTGCAGTTTCGGGCCTTTTTATAATCCACTAAAATATAAATGGCCAGATAAACTCAAACATCACATATGGAGTTCCTGATTCTTTTAAAGAACCAAACTAATGCCTGCAGGAAGTTTGGATAGCAATGGAAAAGTTTCTCAGCTCTGGAAGCTGGGTTGTTTTTTTGGTTTTTTTCACTCCCTCTGCTTTATCCCCTAGAAAGAAAGGACAGCAAGCACTAGCTGCAGTTCATTTTCAGAGAGGTGCCATTTTCTCTTCCAAATGACTTTTTAATGCAAGTAAATCACTGGATCATGCAGCAGATTGTTTCTGGGTGGAATTTGTAAATGGAATTCCTGAAGCAGAGGGGACTACCAAAGAGACAGGAAGGATGGCCTTGTGGTTAAGACAGAAAACTCAGGACATCTGGGGTCTATTCCAGATCTCCCACAGATTTCCTGTTGCCTTGGGCAAGTTGCTCAGTCTCTCTGTGCCTCAGTTTCTGTATCTGCAATACTCAGACAGTGAGCAATTGGAGTGGCAGCTTCCAAACTGAAAGCCATGACGGGACAGAAACCAAACTTCGACTCCTGCAGTAACAGCACAGCAAAACTTCCACGTCTTTACATCCCCCAGCCTCTGCAGAACCAAAGAGCAGCAGGGCAGGAGAAGGGGGAGCCACCGGAGCCATCATGTGGCATTAAGGTGCCAGTGGCTTCTCAAGCCTCTGCTTCTTCTCCATGATGGGCTGTGAGTGCTGCATCTAAAAATCAGATTCATCTGTCCCCCAGTCGGTCTTGCTCCAGTTCCAAAGCCCTGGAGCTGGAGAAAGGAGAGGGGAAAAATATCTCCGAGGAAGGGCCCTAACACCACAGTGTTTTTCTCACTCTCTCCCTCTTCTCCTCCCCCTCTCCATTGGCTTCAAGGCCAACAGCTCCTGGAACACAAACACTCTTGTAAACTTCTGAACCACACAGCCCTATGGTGGGTGGGTGTTTGCTCCCTGCCTGCCAGTTCCAATCCACCCACAGATTCCAAAGGCCCAGAACAAAAAGCAGACTCCATTTTCCATATTTAACAGGCGCTTCTCCTCCCTCCCCACCGCCTTCTCCCGGTGCCTGTCCCCAGCACCGGCTCCCACCTTGTGCCCGTGCCCGGGGCCGGGGGATGTTTGTGCTGGGTTTGCACACTGGCAGAGGAGCGTGCTCCCCCCAGCCCCCTCTGCTCCTCGCCGCCTGCCTGCTCGGGGAGAGCAGGGATTAGCAAGGGCTGTGCTGCACATTGCAGCTATTTGACAAAACGTTTGGGAAGGGCCTATTGTGAACGCTGTGAAGAAGGAACGGGGGGAGCGTGGGTGCGAATGCGACACGTCAAAATTCCTGCTGCAGCTCACATTAGACAGCACAGCCCTTGGAGCAGCCAATTTCCACTTGCTCCACGCCTGTACTGTACATACTCATTGCTAATTGTGACACAAGTAAAACAATTTCTGCATGGCCAGGGTATTTCCTGCCCTCTTTTCCTTTAGAGATTATCATTTATCAAGCTCATGATTTTAACTGATCAATTACAGTGAAACTGGGGAATGCCAAACTATCCAGAACCTGAGGAATAAGGTTTCAAACTCTCTGTTGGAAAGGATTATCTGAGAGCCAGGTGGTCTTTTTCATTCAAATATTTCAATTTTTCATCCACATGCATATCCACTTACAGAAAATTATTTCACAAATGTGATCTAATTATTTTTTCGGCCAAAATTAATCTTGAAACATTTTTTTTAAAGACACCACTTCTTTTTGTACATATTTCTCTGAGATATGCAATGAAATAAGTGAATTTAAGCCATCTAAAAAGTCACCAAAAAAAAGTTTCAAGAATCAGTCAGAGTTAAGGTGAACAAACCAAATTTTTTTGTGTCTGAGGTCAGCAATAGACTCATAACTACTAAAATAGTATTTTTTTTTTTAAATTAATGGAAAAGTCAACTATGTACAGCACACCTTTCAGGACAAAGAGCTCAGTGAGGTGGCTGGGACTTTTCAGCGATGGCAGCAAGGCTGTTTTAGGGCTGTGGTCCAGCTCACTGATTTTATTTTACCAGATTCACAGCAGTTTCTCCCAGAGAACCCCATGGATTCAAACTCATCATTATTTCCTTAACTCTTTTCCTTTTGTTCAGCTCAGCTCCCTGGCCTGCCTCCTGTATCTTTTATATCGTTTCCCAAGTACAGAACCTCTTGTTCACTGGCCATAATCCATGATGAATACATGTAATGAACATATAACCTGCTTAACACATGACTTACTTTCACCTAAAATTCATATTTAATTTGCAGGAAATCATCA